GCTGTATGGGAAAACAAGAGAATAAAATAGCCTGGCTATACTACAAAAGGGCGCAGTGGGGACTGTGTCAAACTAAAGAGCTTCCAGGGGCAGCACTGCCCCACCACACCTGAGTGACTGCTGTCAAGTGAGGATGCAGGCCTACCTAGCATAGTTCATTTTTTTCCTAAAGATATTGGAAATCTGAATTTGCATGACAGCTACTGATTTTTAAATGTTGGCAATTTAAAGTACTAATAAGGGATCATTTATTTGCTTGGGAACGCCCATTATGTAATAATTGCACTGAGGGTGAAGAGATATGAAAGGAGCGAGCCGGTCCCTCAGGCTTTCAGAGTTCTCAGTCACTTTTGGGTAATTGCCCATCTCTTTCAGGAAATAGAATTGATTTCTTAAGGCCCACTCTGCAAAACCTGGGCTAGAGATGTGCACTGTTGCTTTGGTTCTCTTTGGGCATCATCGGAAGCTGGCCACACTAGTGTCACACTCCATGAGGTTGCCTGACCCTGTGTCATCCTGTGTCATCGTTTTCTCTCTTAGCTCAGAATGCAAGCTCAACACCGCAGAAATGCTGCCCGCCTCACCACTGGGCACATAGTGGGTTCTTGATAAAGATTTACTGACTATAAGGAGGAAAAGTGACTCAGTCTCCCACACCATAAAGGACTCAGAGACTTTTTCCATGGTCAGCGCTCTAAGGTGGGTTGAATTGAATTAGTGGAGGAAGTATTGTCTGAACAAAGCAAAGGCATCTCAGAGTTTCCTGAGCATGCACCCCAGGGCAGGGAAATGTTCCCAGTTCTTCCAAATCCACCAACCTTTGCAAAGAGATCCAATCCCCATGCTGTTTTCATGCAACTTTCTCTGGTCACAATCCCATAGCATCCTGCAGTGGAGGGGATGCTTCTGCCTAATAGACTTTAGTGTTGTTATAGCCATTTCTGCTATTTAGCCCAATTCTCTGGCTCCCTCTCACACTGCCTGGCCCCAGCACATACACTTGTAGTGGCCACCGAGCACTGTCTCCTCTGGGCCTCTTGATTAATTCTTTGCAGGTATAAATTGACAATTATTATGCCTCCCATTAGTCATCTCTCCTCTGGGCTGTACAAATTTAGTTCTCCTGATAGCAATGAATCATGGGACAAAGTGTTCATTTGCATTATGTGCCAGCTCTTTCAATCAAACTCTGTTTTTATAACACCTCATTACAAGTCTCCTTAACATCTCTCTGTTCTGCACGTTAAATCCAAAGGTCTAATGACAAGGAGGCTGTCAGCCCCACTCTCTCCCTCCTCCTAAGATGCGAGGTCTTAGGTGTCTGGCGTGGAAGGTGGCCCGGACACTCTTGCTTTTGCTCCTCTCATCCTGGCACCTGAGCCAAAGTGGGAAAGCAGATCAAGAACCGCTGGAGAGCTGACAAAAATTGATAATAATGAGCCAATTTACATGGAAGAGACTCATTACCAAGCTAGTTACCAATACATTGGGTTGCTGGATTTCTGCCCATAAATTGGATCTCCTGCAGTGAAAGATTTTTCACCAGCTTGTAGGAAATCTCTCTAGCTTAAAAATACTTCGGGGAAATCATCTTTACAATAAAAAGAGAAGAGTGAGTCTGCAGTTGTGTATGTATATGGGTGTGGGGTAGAGATTGCATATAGGGGATGCTGAAGACATCGGATAGAGACAATTTTGCTATTTCTATCTTTTGATTTCTTGCACCATTGGGACATGGTTGTGCCTGCTTTCAAAGCTCCCCAAATGACTGCTTAATTTTCAATACAACCAGCCCAGGGAATAAACTTGTAACTTATGTGGAAGGAAAATGCTCACAATTTGGGGTCTGTGATGCAATGCTCAGTCCTTGGAACCAAAAAAGACCATGTGGTAGGACCTAATTATGTGAAATGGGACAGGGAGGGCAATGTAAAGGAATTGTATTTTGACCTAAGTTGAACAAATACTTTGGGCTTTGATCTTCATTATTTGAAAGTTTTCATCAGAGAGTTATGCATATTGGCGGCAGATGGCTCGGTGTGAGCTATTTTGCCCAGCTATCTACTTTGTCTCATGTGAATACAGGGATGATTTCTAGGAAGTAGAATCACAATGCTAGATCCAGCCTTGGGAGCAAGTTCAGACGGGAGCTCCCTGTTCACTTCCACTCCAGCCCCCTCACCAAGCACTTTTCCCATCGAACCATCTTTGAAATGCATCAAAGAGAAGTAGAGATGCACAGTCTGGATTGGGGTCACTTTCTTCATGAGTTGGAGCAAAGTCAGGCTGTGTGTAAAGTATTATGTCTTATGTGTTTCTATAAAAAGACCTGTGGGATGACTACAGCTTTCTTTTCGGAAGAAAGACTCAGGCATCTAGCTCTTTCTCTTGGAACAGCATGGGAAGAGATCTCATATAACTGATGTTGATCTGAACTGAAGACTGAGGGGCTGGTTTGCTGATGGTGGATGCTGTAGTCTTCCAGTCATGACAGGGACCTCTAGGTATGGCCACATGGGAAGTCAAGGACACCATCAGCTGCTCTTCAGTGAGAACTCTGATTAACACTCCACTTCTATGGTGGTTTTGTGCATGTGTTGTCTGCTCATCAGGCAATCAGCTCCTCAGATAGGTGGCTCTTTCTGTTTGTCTCCTATCCACACATGATTGGCATAGAGTTAGCATTCAAAATATACCTGGTGGCTCAAGGCTAGATGTGTGCCCAGCTGGTGTACCTGTTGGCCATGGTCTTTACTTCTGGCTTCTCCTTTGCAGCACCTGGGGCAAATTACTTAACTTCCCAATTTTCAATTTCTTTATTCATAAGCTGAAAACTACAACCTAGATCTTGAGCTTCAGAAGGGCTGAGGATGCTAACTAAGCAACAGCATAGCTTGATTGGTGGCTCTGAAGGAGCCAAGTGTTTATGGGGCCTCCCATCTCCAGCACAACTTTGCTGTATGGACATGATCCATATAATATGGACATGATCAAAGCATGCTAGATACTTCAAGAAGGGGGGTGAGCCTGGGTCTGGCTCCAGGGAATTGCCACCTCATGGCAGGGTCTTGTCAGACTGTATCCACATGGCTGGAAGAGGCTGCCAGCAGGCCTCTAACCCCAGCTCTGCCAGGGCTAGTTGCTTGCCCCTGATTAGTTCTCCAATCACTCTGCTTTAGCTTTCTCATCAGTTACCTGGAGATATGAAGAGGGTAATGAAATTAACAGCATAAACTGTTTAGAACAGTGTTTGGTTTATAGTAAGTGCTCAATTAAGGATAAT